ACATGTAGGATGTGTGTATATGTACATTGTACATGTATACATGTTGTGTACCAGTACACGTACCACGGTATGAAGTTCTGAACACGGGACTGCATACATGTACAGTAGTTCAATCAACCACCGCTAGGAACATCCGTAGCACATGCATGTAGGGTACATGTACATGCACATGTATGTTGGCCTATACACATGTCCATGTACCAATACACGTACATTGTACATGTACTACATGTAGGCCTATATGTATTTGAAATACGGGTACCACTGCTGATATTGCAGGCATGTACACTGTACATGTACACATGTACTGTTGACCTGTTAAAAGGGCGAGGCTACACACTGTACATTTGGTTACTTCCAACCCAAATTATACACATGTACAGTATGTACTTGTACCAGGCACATGTCCATCAAAGCCTGCAGAACAGACCACCTCGTTTTTCAATGCAAGGGGCACATCAATCTGCTGTGGGAACAGATGTCCCAGTTTTGCTCGAAATTTGGACATGTAAAAATGCTTGATTGATGAGAACTAGATTTCATGAAATGTTTGGGAATGCAGAGTACATGTACATGTACAGTATGTACTTTGTACGAGTACTTGCGGTGTGAGGTTCTGTTTCCAACTGCACACCATGTCCTGCGTAGAATATTGGGGGGAAAAATGACCTCCCTTATCAGGAAAACAACTGCCACACCAGCTGTGAAGAGCCGCTGTATTACCCTTTGACTTCAGTTACTAGCACTACCTACATGTACATGTATGTCCGTATATCAAACTGGAGTAACCCACTCCTTGCCAGTGTAAAAGATGCAACTAGGGAGGAACGGAGGAAACCGTGATCCTGGCACAGAAACAATATTATATTTCTGTCTGGCCGTGTTGTTTACTACTCTGAGCAGAGCAGTTGGGAGGGAGTGACTGTACCATCATCCCCCGGCTGCACATTCATGTGTGTGATGCACTGCCAAATGGCTCGGCACTCATATTATGAGTCACTGACTGACTGGTGCCTGGGTTCTTGTTTGTCCCAAACCGCACCGCGATTATAATAATGACAGGTAAAGACGAGAAAAGGGAGAGCAGGGTGCATCCATGTTGCTCATACATACCGGTACATGTATGTGAATTTCTATGTTGGGGAAGCACAGCACTGCTGTACGGTGCGTGCACAGTACCATACGTACATGTACATGTACCTTGTGCTGCATGAATACCTGGATGACAATAAGCCATTTGCAAGTCAAATTTGAATAAAATCTGGTACACTGAGTTCTCCAAATTCACGTGAACATAAAAACTTGAATTCTCCATACTAAAACCACTGTTGCTATACCTTGTGATTCAGGACAAGCTTTTGCTTAGTTACAGTGTACGTAAGAGATGCCTTGCAACAATACGCTGTTCTCAATGGATAAGAAGGGCACAGCGGAACCAGTCCATTCCAGAAATAGTGGTCGCTATGCAAAAGCTTGCCCCGAATCATGAGGTATAGCAACAGTGTCTTCAGTCTGGGGAATTCAAATTGTTACGTTTCTGTGCAATACGATAACACAGTGTACCAGATTTTATTCAAATTTAACTCGCAAGTGGCTTATTAAGCTTGTTGACTTGAACAAGTACACATGTATGTACAAGAAATAAGACATACCATACAGCTGCCGGTAGGCCTACATGTACATGTATCAAGCCATACATATCTATAGTTGCTCTTGTGAAGTTTCACTTCTATTTTTCCATGTGCATTACGACATTAAAGGGTCGTGGGTGTGCCATGCTGTTTTTTGTCTTTTTTTTTCAATGCAGTCCTTGTGTAACACTCACAACTTGTTTTCAGTGTTTTAATATTTTATGTTATTTGCATATTTATGAGCAAACATGTGACATCATTTTCGGACAAAACTCTGATGTTTGTTACATGTATTACTGGACTGCAAGAATTTGGCCGTCTTTCAATTTTCTTTGCTTTGGTGGTTCATTGGTGATATACAGTGGGTGACATGTAGTTTTCCCACAAATACAAATACTGCACTTGCAGGGAGCAAATTTTTGAACACAAACTATTTTTACTTCAATTTTTCATCACAAGCTACCGGATCCTTGCGGAAATTGCACACTTCGCGTTCACATGACCAATTCCGGTTGTAATCGCAAGAAATTCGCAAAAGTTTGAAGGAAGGACCTGTACAACAATCACTGCATGCAATCAATGCATGTTATTTAAAGCTTCCGAAGATGAAAGTTTACACAGTATAGTATTTATACACGATACATCTACATGTTTACAGGTACAGTTTACAATCTAACAGGTTGTAATAAACAGGTGTTTAGTTAAAGGGCCAATGCAGTAAGTTTTTTAAAGTAAAGTGATACCAGTACTTGAAATGAACCATTTTGCCCCAATCACATGTGCATGGGCTTGTGCTGATACATGTACATGTACATGAAGTTGGTCTCATATACCAAATACATGTATTGTCATTATATGGGTGTTTTAAGAGTCTGTTTTGCTTGAAGCTAAATCTTTAACCCCTTCAACCCAAATTCATTTGAAGTTCCATAAAACTGTGCCCCAATGTACCCTGCATTATTGCGTACCGGCAGTTTTCCTGCAAAATATATATACACGTGTATGGTTGTTTTTTGCTTTTTTTGGCAAGTTTCCACAAGCACTTGTGCACGAATTCAGCGACAATGAAACATACATGTAGGCTGCATTAGCTACACGTATGCACCTGTCTTCTAGATTTTGTGACTTGATTTTGTAACAGTACTGGCATTTTTCAGTCATCGGCTTCCCAAGCAGACACATTAGCAGCATGATAATAAACAAATAAATAAACAAATAAATAAATATTGCATGCTTTACATGTACATGTACATTCACATAACCAATCGCAGTGATAAACAGTGACACAGTGACTTCGCATCAATGCAGGCAGTCTGGCTCCCTGTGATGAACAGGGTCCCTTTTAATTGGTGACAGGGTAACATTTTACACAAGGTATATGTACAGTACATGTACATATATGATCGATGCAATTTCATCGCTCGGGACCCCTGTTTTCAGCACTCATGTGAAAAGGCCTCTATACACATGTGCATGTACCTGGGTACATGTACCTGTACCGTACCGGGAAGATGTACACAGTTCGAACATCAGTCCTTCATTTGAAGAAAATCCAGGAGAGCTACATGTACATGTATAAATCGCTCTCCTCAAATCTCTCAGGAGAGCAAATCACTCCCCTTAAAAAATAAACCAATTGGAAGAAGTGGAAATGAGGTCAGACAATTGTTTGTACCCTGACGGTCTACATGCACAGTGTATATTGTTCTACTTTCTCTGATGGTTTATGATGTTCTTGGGACAACTTTTAAAATTAATTTAGTTTTAATTCAGTTAGAAAAGATTTATGATACACACATTGTCTCAGTGCTTTTTTTAAATTTGATACGGCATTTTATACTACCAAATTAAAAATACACTATTCAAGCCTGACTAACTAATGTTACATGTAAGTTTCAACCTACAATTCAACACAGTAGTACGCCATGTACATGTAACTTTAATTTAAATCAAAGTGAAAGTGAACCTTTTTCATCCTGATTTGGGCATTTCTTTCAAAAAAGAGCCGGAAAGGGATTTGAAAGTTTCAACTGCACTTGCAACTTTGTTCAGTTGATGCAGACTGTAACAAACCCACCTCAATCAAAATAGGAAAACGTCAAACCAACACATGTGCACACATGTGCGAACATGACAGTGTTTACGTATGATTACGGTCCGACACGCTGGAGGGGTTTCCTGCTCAAATTCAATGGTCACACATGCTGTATGTATGCACAGAGCAACATTTTCATGACAACCAAAGCTTATGGCGCACCACTTTCAGCTTAAGCACCACATAAAGAAGATCGATACTGATTGCCTCTCTTGTCACTGAAAACTTTTTACTGACCAATATAAGCATGTAACAGACTGTACCATGTACCGATACAGCGAAACAGTGCGTGACATACAGGTACATGTACATGCAAGCATATGTACGTGTACATGTACATGTACAGCGTGCATGCTACACGTTCGTGCAGGGCTGGCTGGCCGGTCTGAAAGCAGGCTGCATTCGCAATGCATTGATCGTAATATATTAGTACAAGAATTATAGCCCTACGTATGAAAGTCGCGGCAGGATAAATATGAAATCATAAGTTACATAACAAACAAATCACAGGTTTTTTTTGGTGATGTCATCCACTGTGTTTGCTATATCGTTTGTTATTTGTAAAGTGTTTTTTTAAGGGCACAATTTTTTACCTTCCTTTAGGAGTGTTGAGGAGTGCAGTTGGAGTGCCTGCGCGATCGCGCTCCTTTAAAATGAAGGACTGGAAAATGTCCATGTCCATGTATGGCAAGCAGTGACAGCCGACATGTACATGTAGTTTTTCCACTCACACATGTTGTGGCATGCATTGAATAATCTGGCAAATTTGACACAAGATTAATGGATGGAAGAATTCCCTGGAGTTAAATGTGCTCTACAGATGTCTAAAATGCCTGTCCATGCACATCGGTTCCAGTAGATATACTGTAAAAAGCTGAGCAAACATTTGATTAGAATGGGAAATCCTATTTAGGTACTTCCTACTCTACATGAGGAAAGTGTGCTCGCAGGAATACCAAGAGTACATGTATTTTCTTGGCAAACATAGATATTACAGTGATTCCAGTGATAACAATTACACAATGGGAGAGTCAGTCCCTGCAAATCCCTCTCACTACTACCCCGATTTCTAGACATCAAATATAGCTAAGGAGGTCAGGCAAAGACTTGGGAGCTACTTGTACACGAAAGGGGTGTGGTCACTGAAGAAAACAGGACGCCAGTGGAACAACGCTGGGTACACAGTTTATAAATTAAACATCAGGAGGGGCAAAACTGCTACACAATTGTGTCTCTGTAACACAAAATTGTGGAATAATCGAATAGTTTCTTACCTCTCTGTTGCAGAGTCTACTTGAAATGTCCGATCCACAAAGGTAGTCCATTGTAAACATCGTACGTAAAATATGTTCTTATCTTTCCTATCAGAGGCTAGCACTTGGCATTGACAGTCTGTGGCACAAAAGAAGAAAAATAGCACATGAATAAATATGCAAAACGTTTTTTTTATTTTTGAGGACACTATAAAAAATGAAAATTACCCAGTAATGAAAATACGTACATACGGGTAAATATAAATCCTCTCTTAACTTTTACAATCATGAAATTCCAAAACCAGAAAGTGAAAGTTGTTGATTTTAAACTCCTGTTTATCAACAGGCCTACCCAGCAATACATGTAGATATATCTTGAACACAAATAGCAAAAACTGAAAACACTAAATATATCCCACATCAGCAATTCCTTCTGCAGGAAAAATTATATCAATTTATGGCATGTTCTCCATAAAATGGACCAAAATGCAACTCCAGATGTCATCTTTTCAAAACTTCTAAAAGAGTGACTTTGACCATGCAAAATACAAATTAGCACCTTCAGATTTATAAAAATGATTATATTGGGATAATTAGGCATAATATGCACTCATGGTGGACATTTGGTTGGCTACCAGTGCAAATCAAATGGAGTTGAATTCATTTAAAGTTTTACATCAAAGTGTTTACACCAGAGGACTTGATTTCAAAACTTCTGTCAACAAGAAGGAGAATTCAGTATATTTTTTGACTGATGTATTTCAAAGCACCTAAGAAATGTTTTTTAAAAAATATAAGCCACAAAAAAAGAGCACAAAATTGACGGAAATGATGAGAAGCGTTTGGCTCTCTTCATTCTCTTACCGTTTATAATCATTCTCACTATACCAACATACTGGTACAGTATTTGCCAGGTCTTGTATCTTTCAACCACCAAAAATTATTTGACTTTGAAATTTATAATGAGTACAATATGTTCGTTGCGAATGTCTTATTTGACAGAATTTTGATGACGTTGGAGAATTTTGACAGAATTTTAATGACGGAGAATTTTCACAGAAACTGCATGACGTTCGAGAATGCCACAAATGCTGTCACATGTAGTGCTCGAAAATTCTATGCACGATTTTCATTTTGCCAGTTATTTTGGAGATAACTCCGCTCAAAATAAAATTAAAATTAACAACTCTGAGCATTAGATATGGCGTCATGGCGTTCGAGAATGCCACAAATGCTGTCACATGTAGTGCTTGAAAATTCTATGCACGATTTTCATTTTGCCGGTTATTTTGGAGATAACTCCGCTCAAAATAAAATTAAAATTAAAAACTCTGAGCATTAGATTTTCATCATGAATCGTATTTTGTCTCGAACGTCATTTTTTTGCGAACGTCATTCAGAATGATGGATTTTCTTTTGAGAAACATTGTTCTGAAGAGAAAAATCGTGGAGCGTCGCCATTCTGTGGAGGGACTCATGAATATTGAATAAAAAAGAGGGCGCACTATCTGAGTTGATGTCAAAGGTCAAACAGGCCACGATGCAGCGAAATGTTTCTCTAACGTCGCTGCCAGAGATTGATGCAAGCCGCAAAATTGCCACGATCGGTAAGTTCGACTGCAGTTTTCGGGAACATATTTGAAGAAAATGTAATTGGTCCAGTTGTAAAAGGATGATGGTTTGGCGGTGCTTTTTTGCACTCTTTTTTAAAGCTTGTGTTGTACATTGATATATGGATTTTACTTGCTTTTTTTGCAGTCAATTTGTTTGACACTAATGAATCGAATGACATTCGCGACTGCCAACTTCGGGACCCGATTAAATGTGAGAGGTCCTTTTTAATTCGTGATTATGGTTTTAATATGTGTAAATGTTATCACCTTTCACCATATATAAATATGTGTAGAATAACCTCAGGGATTATCACTCATCAGTAAATTCTATTGGCTCGGATTTGAACAGGGAGTTCATGTCCCTCAAAATTGCTAACATTTGAGACTTTCATTAATTAACTCCAATTAAGTTGAAAGGTTGACATGGTTATCATTGTTCCAGATATCTGCCATGACTTCCATCATTACATCAAACATTGGAAATTAAATTCACTGCTGTTCACTTCAGGAAAAATGAACCCACAAAGTTGAACATTATCTAATGGTCCATATTTTGAGGAACCTGCCTTATGCAAAAGTTAATCGGTGTGAACATGTCCATCACAGTGCTGACTGCTCAAATACATAATGAAAATCTCACATGCTCCTCCACATCCATAATATTATTAATATTCCAGTATCTTGAAACTGGTGATCCTATGGGATTTTTACAGTGCCATGGACTTCAATGCTATCGCAACCAATTGCACGCAGGGTGTCAACACACCAATCCATCATTTCTTGTCAAGGGACGACAACAATTTTTTACAAGTGCATCTCCCAGGAATTTTTTTTTTCAATGGCAATGGCAGAGTGTTTGTTTATGGTACCCATTTAGAATCATCAGTCTACTTCTGCATTCTCGAGTAATTTTGTCCGATTTCACACAGAATTAAGACAAATACCTGGAGAAATTGTAAAAAAAAAAAAAAAAAATAATTAAAAACTGAAAGTTCAGCTTTATTAGTTACACAATTTCCTGCAAACTTTCCCATCATACATACATGTATGCCCATGTACCCAAATATTGCCACAAGAATATACCACAAACCACAGATACAATAGATGAGTCCAGTCACCAATGTGAAAAACTACATGTAGTACTTTTTGTATGCATTACAGTTTTTCCCATCTGGCCATTGTTCAATAAAAAGTTCCACCCCCCCTTCTGGAAAGGAGAGTGGAACTTGGGCTTGGAGCACATGTAATGTGATTATACCAAACACAAAACAAAAAGGTAAAACATCATTCTGGAAATCCACTTAGCATGCTTACATGTACGTGTACCGTAGTTGGGGCAGAAACAGGCAGAAATTCTGCACAAATTACAACGAACCTGCAACAAACACTGGCACAAATATGGTACATGTAGGCTCTAGGACTATCTACATGTAGCAAGAAACTGACACACCTAATTGACTGGGTCACTTTAACATGTTCTTTTTCCCCTCTGCTTCCAAGTCAATGTTAACAGGTTCTCGAGGCTACATACAAAGTACATGTACATGTAGGCTCCCACATGCATATTTTGATATGCCTTGTACATGTAACTGTACGCGAATGCCTGCAGCACACTGCTGTATTTTTTGTATACATGTACATGTACTTGACTCATGCATGTTCTGAGTTTACATACATGTACATTTACAAATACATCAATAAGAGCCAAATGATACATGTTACCCACTCTTACTCACCTACATGTACATGTACCAAAACTGTGCGATTTTATTCCACACCGGTGTATACTGGTAATGCCTGTGTGGTCCAATCATTTTTCAAGGACAAGATAGTCATTGCACATTCATTGCTCATTACACTCTCATTTCTTACCAATCAAATTAATGCACAAAGCACAACTTGCATGTATGCACACGTCCGCATGTGCACATAAATGCACTCGTTAACATTAATTTCTGAAATTGAAAACTCATTTGCTCCACAGGTCCTGACCTGCTCGGCAAATTACCCGTAATAGCTTAATGTGTACAGGTACATGTATGTGCACCCCATCAGTGTAAGTATGCAGCTTGCTTCAGTTCAGGCACATGTACATTTATAAGGTATGAAGAAATACAAAGTATGCAAAGTAAGTGAGAGAAATAACATGTGATTCACTGGAACCCAAATGCGCACAGACTGCAAGTGCTAAATTTTATTGACAGGAGCTGAGGACTATCACTTTCAATACCGACTGCCGCATGGCGCGAGGGCCCTCATCAATTTTCCATGGCCTGGGCATTTATAAACCAACAACACCATAAATAAAGCAACCAAGCCATACCCCTCTTAAATCTTCCTGAATCATTGGGGAAACACGGCAGCTATGCTGAGGAAAAAACAACTGAACAAATCGAAAGTAGGGAGGTTGAGGGGAGTGGTCCATTATGTGCACTATCAAATCATGTGTGTAGCCACACTGTGAGAAATAAACACTTCTAAAAGCCAGCATTCATTTTTAGATCGGCAATATCAACTTTCTGAGTTTTGCTTTGTTTTAATTAAATTGTTTTTCTTATATGGTTGGATGTTCTTTTTTTTTTAAGGTTTGATTGTGGGCAAGTCTGGGAGATCATTTCCTTGTTATTACTTACCATTACAGAGACATTTTTGAAAGGTTCAGAATTATCAAGATGAAAGGAACTCAAAATAAAGCTACCATTTCATCGATGCATTTTAAATATACATGCATACCCTTACGACATACATGTACATGTATGCTCATGCTGTATTCTCAGTCTGATTGAAGAGCTGAAAAAAACATCACTAGCTTGCTGCAATTGGATTCGAACCCATGACTTCCTGTTAACTAGTACATGTATGCATCAATGCCAAGTCTGCCAAGTCTGGCAGTTTCTTCCATTTATTTCTCTTGCTATGCAAGCATACATGTACATCTCAATTTTTAAAAAGTGTTTCCATAAGACTTCAGTCCACGATGGCTTGGGGCACGGCCTTGCAAGGTGGTATTCTGAACAAGAGAGGGATCAGAAACTTTCCAAATCCTGTGATGAGGCTAAGCATGGACTTCTCTTTCCAACCCAGGCATGCCGGGGCTACAAATTAACATGTACAGGTACGTGTAGTCGACTTTTGCGCCACCAACAATTCACCATCTCATTGTGACTCCTAAGGAAAATGGTATGGTCCAACCCGAGCAGCACTGTGCAACACGGTTGCTCCTTCCTGGACTCTGCGACGGAGGTAAACTTGGAAACATTCGCAGCAAAATGCAAATGGTGTATACCACCTCTAACCACTTTGCAACGGACGGCGCGTAAACACAACCTGGCTGTTTTACACAGGCACGGCTGACAGGTTAAAATGTCAAGCGCATCTCGAATCAACTTCAGCTGGCATTTGAACATGGTAACGTCCCATTTCATTTTCTGCACGCACAAAGAAAGTCTAAGACCGTGTGCTGAACTTGAACTTTGATGCTACGGGTATGCATAGCCTGCAGTGGCAGCTTGCTCGGTGGGCATCC